GGGCAGGGGAATCAGAGGGAGGAGTCTCCGACCAAGTAAGCAGACCTGCAGTTGATGTGTGTGGCTTCCTCACCGGCGTGCTCCTCTCCATTTTCTCCTCTGTTCCTACTCCCATGTGAACCAATGCTCTTGGCAACTGCAAAAGTAGGTCGAATAAAAAGCACCAAAACAACACAAGCTTTGCTCGATCCTTCTCTTCCTTACTTCTCCTTCGCAGCAAAAGCACTGTTTTGAGCAAGAGCGAGTGCACAGTGAGAGCCAAAAGGAAGGTGCAGCTGGTGTTGAAGCTGGGTTGAGAGAACCCAGATCTGGGCTTGAGAAAACCCAGATCTGAGTTTTCTCAAACCCAGATCTCCGTTTTCTTCGAGGGAATCAAAGATCGTTTTTGGGGGAATCCATGGATGAGGTCTTTCCTCACGTTGCTCATGGCTCCAAACGACATGGTTGAGTGGGCGTAGAACAGGTTCGTCTGAGTTGATGTGAGAACTGACGTGAACACCGATCGAACACAACAGAACCTTACCCGGCTCGAACCTGCTCATGAAAGTCTTCGCCATCCTTTCACTCATGCTCTCTGCCTGCTGAGCAAACCCATTCATCGATGCAGAGGAAGAAGGCTGAGAAAGAGGAAGGGGCGGAGGGATGAGAAAGAAGAAGGGAGGAAGAAGAAGAAGAATAATATAATAATATGTGGGTTTTAATTTAAATTTGCAGAAGTAGTAGGTTTAGGGTTTTGAATCTGAAAAGGAAATGAAAAGAGAAACGAAGATAACTTGTGATCTTTGGAGAACTTGATTGAAACTGGAAAAAGAGAAAACAAAATTTTCATGTGGGTCCCACTAAAAAGAAAAACTGAGAAGATGACAATCTGACGTGTAAAAAAATACCACGGTGTCAAAAATGTCGTTGCTGGATTTACATGTCATTAAAAATTAAAAAAAACCGGTGATTTTGTGGCATCTTAACGAGCCACCTGGCATTTAACTGACGGAAGGACCATTTTGGTACTAAAAATGAAAGTTCAAGGATAATTTTAGTACTTTTTAAAGTTGAGGGACAATTTTGGTGCCAAAGTGATAAGTTGAGGGACTAAAATGGTACTTAAACCTTTTAAATACTTTTTTTTTTATCTCTGAACTCTAAAAAATACATATTTTCAATTCTTTTGTTAATTAAGTATGATGTGAGGAGTTTTACCATTAATGAATTCTTATTTTAATTCAAAAAATTATTTGAAAATTAACTTGGA